TTCACCTTGAATAAGTATTTTTATGTGTTATACAGAGAGGAAATAACAATAATAAAAAGCAATAAGTTGCCTTACTATGTAGATTAATTTGAAAACTTATATTCTGAGCACCCAGGCACTGAGCAGTGCTCTGAGGTACTACAAGGTGCTGGATCTTATTCAAAGAAGTAAAGTGGGAGATAGAGAATGGAAGATATTTTTTGAGTGCTCATTCCCTCAATTTGTATCTTTGTCACTTTTTTCTTATGTTAATTATTACTGGGGGATATTTAATAAAGTAATAGAAGCAAAGTAGTCATCAAATTGAATGTAATACAAAATTTACTCCTTTATGCCTTGGTGCATACTTGTATATTTCATTATTTTTATTGAATACCTGTGTAAATATCCTGGTATCTGTGAGCTGAGGGACAAGTTACTTTATCCTTTAGAAGTTTACAATTTTGTTAGAGAGTCAGCTCTTTGGATAACTGAAACCCAGAAAGTTATGCCAAAAATAATCTTAGAGGTAATAATGTGGGCTGCTTAAAAAAAAGATGGTTGGTAATTTGGGAAACTTTTCTTGGTCTATTTAGAAAATATATTTAAAAGGAATAAAGTTGAAGGGAGGGCAGGGGAATAGGGAAAAAATAAGAACCAAGATACATCATGTAAATGTACAAGTTCCCAATGATGAATGTAACTGTATTGTATGCCTAAAATGTACCAATAAACTTAATGAAAAAAAAAAAGGAATAATAAAGCTGGGGTAAGGGAAATTGTGCAGTGGTTCATGTCTTTTATATGGGCTTACTTGTAAAATATGCCATGTTAATGAAGAAAAGCAGTTATGATCAATGTAGGTGGTGTATATATACATAACAAATTAAGCATTTACTGAGAAAAGATTGTACAAAAGTATCTTTTGTCTTACAATTTTTCTACTTGAAAGAGTGCTTGTAATAATGCTATGAATTGATGAAAAGTAAATGAGCTTTAAGAAAACTCCCCAACTACATAGAGAACACATATGAAAAACCTACAGCAAACAACATCTTTAATGGTGGGAAACTAAAGCTTCTTTTTACTACAATTAGGAAAAAAGCAAGGATATCAACTCTCACCATATTGTTTTAATCTTGTACTAGTAGTGCTATCTAATGCAATAAGACAAGGAAAGGAAACGAAAGGAATTATATCACTTTATAATTTGTATATTGAAACCTTAACCTCAATACTTCAGAAAATGACTGTATTTGGAGATAGCGTCTTCAAAGACATAATTGAGTTAATAATAAGGCCATATTTGAGCTCTAATTCAACATAAGTATTATATAAAATTAGTATATAGCATTTATAAGAAGAGGAGACTAGAATACACAGAGAAGCACTGGTTTCATACGCTTAACATAAGCACGTGTTGAACATGTGACGAGGCAGCAATAGGGCAGCCAACTGTGAACCAAGAAGGAAGGTGTCAGAGAAAATCAGCTGAGATGGTAAACTCACCTTGGATTTCCAGCCTCTAGAACTGTCAGAAAATAAATTTCTATTGTAAAGTATTTTGTGATGGCATCCCTAAAACTTGTGCAAATAGGTACGTAGATTGAGGCAAAAGGTATAAAACTATCCATGTTTGTATATGACATGTTTGTATATATATATAAAATCCAAAAAAATCATTATCACCAACAAAACCATTTTAAAACTAATAATTGGCTAAAGTTACTGGACAAAAAGTTAATGTAGAAAAGTCAATTTCTTTTCTATGTGCCAGCAATGAACAAGTGTAATTTGAAATTTCACTCAGATGACTCCAGCAAGAGGATGGAATAGAAAGCTCTAGTCCCAGTCCCTTTACAGAAACCTAAGTTTAACAACAATAATATATTGAACAAAATCCTTATGAAAACTTCATAATTAAGTTAAAAAGTTGCAGTAGCTCCAGTTTACCATAAAGCCAAGAAGAGATGTGCTGAATTGAGTAAGAAGACCAATTTCATTTTACCCATGTGAGATACTCCCCTAGAAAGGCTCAGCTCAGCCCTCAAAGAACCCTTTAGCTCATAACTTTTGCTTTGAGTGGTGGGAGGGATGGGGGGATGGAGAATATAATAGTGAAGACCACATCCAAAATACTGACTTTTTAAGAGAGCTGTGTAAGGTACTGAGTTTTGTCTTGCTCCTTTTGAAGTGCTGATGAAATCAGAATATTTTGGATGCCTGGAGGCTGCTACAAATAAACAAATGTAAGGAGTGGGTATGGCTTGCTCTACTCAGCATGACTGGGCACAGATGGACAACTTGAGTTTTCTTTTTCTAGAGGAATTGAGAGGAATAGAGTGTGTGTACAGCATTTTTGATTTTTGGAAAAATTCTTGAGGAACAGACATCAATATTGCCTTACTTAGGGGAGCAGCCTACTTTATCCAGTGATTGCTGAGATCATGACAGAAGAGGGAAGTTTGTTGCTCAAAGTAGAAATCGTGTATTATTTTAAACAGACACAGATAGAGCAAGTGATTATAAGGGCCTGTTAAAAATTTGGCAAACCTTTGAAAAATTGTATGCATAGGCTCAGAGAAGTCATGTTCTATCTCAAAAAGTTTCAGATGCCTTCTTAAATCTATAGTTAGGCTAATTCTTGAGAGTCATTATCTACACAAAGCCAATCTATGAAGACTGGGAGAGGTGCATGTGTTCCAACACAAAATTATTAGGCACACACAGAGACAGAGAACTAAGGCACAACCATAGCGAAAAATAAGTCTCTTGAAACTGGATAAAAATATCAGTTATGTAAACTGTAAAAAAGAATGAAACAGGAATTTTGGAACTGCAGAATACAATAATGGAAATAAAGAAATTCAATAGAGGAGTTCAAAAGCTGACTTTGTCAGGTAGAAGAAAGAATAAACAAACTTTGAAACAGGTCATTTGAAATTATCCAGTAAGAAGAACAAAAGGAAAAAAGAATGAGAAAGTTTGAAAAATGCTTAAAAGGGCATGGGATGGTATTAACTAGAATACATGTATTATGTTTCAAGAATAGAGTGAGAAAAGAACAGATAATTTGTTTAAATAATGGCTGAAAATGTCATAATTTGAGGGAAATAAATGGACATTTATATTCAAGAACTCAGTGGATTTCAAGTAGGCTTCTCTGCAAGAAATGTACACTAAGATAAATATGATCAAATTTCAAAATTTAAAGACACTGAACATCTTGAAAGCAATAAGAATAAAGTAACTCATCATACATAAGGAAACCCTCAGAAAACTATCACTGAATTTCACATCAGAAAACTTACAGGCCAGAAAAGAGTGAGATGATATAGTAAAAGTGTTAAAAGAAAAAATATGCAAAGAATCCTATGTTTGCAAAACTCTCCTTCATAAAATGAAAGAGAAATACAGTGTTTTCCAGATGATCAAAAGCTGAGAAAGCTCATCATCACTAGACTTGCCTTACAAAAAATTTTAAAAGGAGTTGAATATCCCTGAAATTTCAAGTTGAAATCAAAAGACCCCAAACAGCAACATAGAAGCATATGGCAGCATAAAGGTCAGAAATGAAGGTAAACATAGGGACAATACATAACACTGTAGTACTTTAATGATGGTACAAAAATAACTTTGTTCTGGCACAGAAGTTAAAAGTCAAAAGCATAAAATATCCCCAACAATGAAATGTGTTCATTGATAGACAATATAAGAAAGATGTAAGTTGTAAAATCAACAACATAAAATATGTCCTGGGGAATAAAAATGGAATATTTGCAGGAAATTAAAGTTATCAGCTAAAAATAAATTATTATAACTATAGGTTATAAATTCTTTTGTAACCACAAAGAAAATAATTATAGAAGACAAAAAGTGAGAAAATAAAACATACCAATTTTTTAAAACTCGATAAAACACAGATGACAACAAAAGAGACAAAGAAGGAAATAGATATTAAGTAAAAAATTATATCCTGCATGTGCATAAAAGATTCATTTCACTAAGACAAAACTATTATAAAGTATAAGCACTTAGCATCAGAGCATACAAATATATGAGGCATATATTGACAAAACTGAAGGACGAAATAGCAAAAAAAGTAAGGAATTTCAACATTTTACTTTCAATCATGGTATGAAAATGCAAGCACATGATTTATATTGAAACTGAAGACTAGAAATGTACTGTTGATTCAACACACCCAATCCATATTTATAGAATGTTTCAGCCCCAAACAACATAATACAGCATCATCTCCAGCACACACAAAGCATACTCTAGTATCAATTACATGAATAAAGAACAAGTCAATAAATTTCAGAAGATGGAAATCATATCTATAAGCACATTTTCTGAACACAATGAAGTGAAACTGAAAATTAGCAACAAAGAGAAAAAGGGAAATTGATAAGAAGAAAAAATTAACATATCTTGAAAAACAAATGTATCAAATAAAAATGATAGAGAAGTTAGAAAATACCCTGAGACAAATCTAAAATATATCAAAATATTTGGCATGTATAAAAAGTACTAAGAAGAAAAATTATATTGCAAACATGTTTATAAATAAATGTTTATATCAATAAGAAGTAAGATATCAAACAAATAATACACCTCAAGTAAATATAAAAGAAAAAAGTCCACAGTAGAAGACTCGAGAAAAAAAAGAAGCAAAGTAGGAAGAAAAATATATAAATCTAAAGTTATATTATTTTACCTAGGTCCACTGAGAGAGAAGGATTAACTATCATCAGAAATGAATGAGGAGAGTGAAGCTGATAAAGTTCAAAGGATTATAAGAGATGGCAATGAATAATTTTGGAAACCTAGAAGTGATGGATACATTTCTAGACACAATCTACTGACTGAAATATGAAATAACTAGAAAATCTCCAAACTTGTATAATGATCAAAGAGATTTGATGATTAACCAAAGGCCTACTAGCCTCCTAACCCCAGCACCAAAAAGTGAATTCTAGCAAACATTGAATAAAATTTTAAAGCCAATTCATGTCAAATACATTCAACAAATTTATGGGAAAGGATACTTCTGGAATGATTAGATAAAGCATGTATTACCTTGCTACTGGAAGCAGACAAATACAATGTAAGAAAAGAAAACTATAGGATAACATATTTGATGAATATAGATAAACAAATTGTCAAAAATTAGTATCCAAA